GTTAAGCATCTGGCTTCGGCTCAGTCACGATCTCACAGTTCTTGAGTTCGAGCCCCGCGTTGGGCTCTGTGCTGACAGCTCAGAGCCTGGAGCCTGCTTCGAATTCTGTGTCTCCCTGTCTGCCCCTCCCCTGCTCACAGTCTGTCCCTCTCTGTCTCTCAAAAATGAATAAACATTAAAAAATAATAATAAACTTACAAAAAGATCTGTCTCTGGCTATGGTGCTGGGTAGAATGTGGTCAAGACAAGACCAGAGGCAGGGAAACTAGTGAGGTCCAGGCCAGAGATAGTGAGGGTCTGCAAGGCAGTGGCGTGAGTTTGGAGAAAAGGGCTTCATATTTTTTTTGCCGCTCAGTTCCCAAGGTAACTTTTTTCCCTAATATTGTAATGTAGAATGGAGATTACCTACATCCTAAGTCAAGGACTGTGTGTTTCCTTTGCTTACCTTTATTAAAAATTGTCTTGTCCCCAGCCTGAACGAAGCTCTGCCACGCCAAGCGAGTGGTGGTGGTTTGTCATCGCTGCTGCGGATGGTGATGATGGTGATGACGAGGGTGATGGTGAGGATGATAGCGACCATCCATGCAGGACAGGAGATCGAACTTCAAAGCATCCTGAATCAAGCTCGCACACCAATTAGCCTCTCCAAAGGTTTTGTTATGCCCAGAATTCGTGATCCCCAAAGACCACCAGGGAGCCGAGTCCGATGCAAAAGCAAAAGAGCCTTTATTCGAGCTAGCTCGAGCTCAATCCCCTGCCCGCACCGATGCAGTGGTGAAATACCGTAGAGAGCGAGTTTCAAAAGCACAAAGGTTTTATAGGGATCATGGTCTTAGCCGATTGGCTGGGGAAGAGTCGTGGACTCAGCTGATTGGCTGGGGAAGGATAGAACAATGGCTGCCAAAGTGTGGTCCCAGATCAGCAATTTTCAGCATCACCTGGAACTTGTTAAAAATGCAAATGTTGGGCCTGGTGGTCACAGACCTACTGAATCAGAAACTCTGGGGGTGGGGCTCAGCAATCTGTGTTTGAACAAGTCTTCCAAGAGATTCTGATGCACCTGAAGTTTAAGAACCACTGTGTCTGAGGATCTCTAACATGTTTGGCCTCAGTGTATACAGAACGTTTCTCACTGGGCACCTATTAACCATTGGCTGTCAGCCTTGCTGTGCTATATAAATACCTAGCACCAAACACCATCCCCAGAGACTCTGATGAATTGGTTTGGGGAGGGGTAAAATCCTCCCCGGTCATTCTAAGCCTGGACAGGGTTGAGGGCTCCTGCCTCTGGCCCCTACCTGAGAGAAGCCCTCCCTCTTCTACTCACACTTTCCACGCCTCTCACACTCCCCTTCCTCCCACCTCAGACTTTGGAAGAATGCATCAATCGGTAGCCTGCTTTCTTAGAAAACATAAGTTACTCAAGGGGAGGAGGTGTGGTCTTAGGTTGGAGCAGGAACTTCTTTCTGTGGCCATGTTGGGGACATAGTCACTAGTCAGCCGGCCTAGGTCTGCTCTTTGAGTTTGAGGTTATATCTTCAGAGATAAAGTCACCGTTACTGGTTGAGGCTATTCTCGCTTTCAATTAAGATGTCCTGCAGACGGACACAAGAAGGACAGAGCTACAAGCCCCGACGTGGACCTGATACAGCAAGAAGGAGATTTGGCAGTGATAACACTACGCCTCTCTCAGATGGCCTGGGAGTTTGCAGACTTCACTGGTTTCTATCAATACAATTGAATCTCCCTCTACGTCTGTTTTGACTACCAGCTAACACCTTTGACCATTCCCGATATGTCACAAACTACGTTAGGCTCTTCATACGCCCTATCTCATAGGATCTTTTTGATCTATGAGTAGTAGATTCTATGACAACTCCCATTTTGCAGAGGTGGATGCTGAGACACAGCATCATTCATTAACTTGCTCAAGGCCACACAGCTAGTAATCCGTGTTTCCCTGCAAGCCTGTCGACCCCGGAGCTCTCCCTCTTTTCCTCAATATGAATACCACTTCTCCTCCGGGGGGACAGAAGTAGGAACTGAACCTTTACACACATCCGTAGTCAGACGATGAAGCTGTAGGATGGCCAGCCAAGTAACGATGCGTAACGAGGAAAGTTCAAGGTTGCAGAAAGTCAGAGGCTCACATTAGCTTCACAAGAGAAGGTCAGTGTTACGGGGTGGAGGTTCTCTTGGCCACACAGAAATGGCTCCCAGGCTGGGATGCACGGGGCCTGGAGCCGTGCGAGAAAGTCTGCTATTTAAAGCACTTTGCTGATGGGGTGCCTGGGTGGCTCAGTCTGTTAAGCATCCGACTTCGGCTCAGGTCACGGTCTCACGGTTCATGAGTTCGAGCCTCACATGGGGCTCCGGGCTGACAGCTCAGAGCCTGGAGCCTGCTTTGGATTCTGTGTCTCCCTTCCCTGCTCTCTCTGTCTCTCTCTCTCTCTCTCAAAAATAAACATTAAAAAAAAAATTCTATAGCGCTTTGCAGAGGGAGGGAAAATCAAAGCTTCTCAAGCGAGGCACTCAGAGCTAATGGACATCCCAAAAGAGTCGTGACTGACATGAGTATTTCTTCACCTCCGTTCTTTCCCCTTAAAAGGACACGGGGCAAGGTCAAGTCACTAAGGGAGCAGGTAGAGAAAGAAGCAAGCGGTGGGGACAATGACTAACAAGAAAGCAGAATAAAAGGTCAGCCGGGAAGATGGTAAGGCTCGCTAAGAGCAACAAAAGGTTCTGGGAAAACTGAGGACGCCGTGGGAAGGTGAGCGACCCAGCACTCATCATATGTGCTTCTTGAGATCAGAAGATGTCTACTGACTGTCACAGTTTTTACCCTGGAGCCCTAGTAGATAAACAAGACTACAAAATCTTAAAATCTTCCCTCTAGTCCAAATACAGCCCGATTCCTTCGAAGGCCGTCGAGTCAGGGCTTCGAGGCTCCTTCGCTCTCCTGGACTTCAAAGCACAGATGTCAGGTCTCCAAACAGGCCAGTCTACTCTCGAAGAGGAGAAGAAAAAGCAAGAGACGGGAAACACAGGCGTTGTGTTGCAGCGGAGGTTGTTCGTGTGAGGCACGGGGCCGCGCTCGGTTCTCCCGGATCGCGTGTGAAAGTCAAAGTGATCGCTCCCCGTGCAAGAGGCTTACGTGCCCTCCACCGGCCCAACAGGCGGCCTCTGGATTCCCCGGTGCCCTCGGCCTCGCGGCAGGAACAGGACTTCAAAAGACAAGAGTTTTCTGAAGCCGTTCCATCTCAGACCCCGGGGTCGACGTCACAGCCGATGGGAGAAAGCTGGTTGGCAATGTCGCTTTCTTTAATCTGAGTTTTTTATTTTACTTTACGTGGGAAATGCTCTTTAATCTGACAACAAAGAGATTTCTTTTTAATCTTTTGAAAATCCCTGAAATTAATATTTGAGCCATAGGACCCGAAATAGAAACATGCCCCTTTCGAGAAATGATCGTGGATTTGCCTCGTGTTGTCTTGTCTTGTCTTGTGTTTTCTTTGGCTTGTTTTGGCTTTGTGTTCCCCTCCCCCCCCCTTCCGAATCTCTTTCCAGGCAACTTTGATTTGCAATCTGTTTAGTAAAAGATGAAAGCAGCCCACATCTATACAGATGAGGCTGAGAGAAGATTCTTTTCCTCCAGGAAGAGTGTGTCCTCGCTCTCTGAACACACGCTGAGCCGACCTGAATACCAAAGGGAGGGGGTAACTGATGTCATAATTTACACCTTTTCATAACTGTCTCTCCGTGAACCAATTTTGAAATCAGAGATGTTCTTAACGCGTTGTCTTCTAATTTTTACACTAAAATTGACATAAAACTATTACACTAGTATCATATTTTGCATCTGTCTTTATATGTACCTTTATAAAGTGGGTTTGACACCTCCGAACACATATATCCAATCACATCGAATTGCATGCCTTGAATCCGTGTAATTTCTTGTTTACCAATAAAGCTATGGGAAAATAATCGTTCCTGTGAAAAAGAGAAGGGGGGAGTAGGGGGCTCAGGCCACCTCACCACACCCTTAGGCACCCAGGGAGGAAGGGGACGGAAAGGAGAGAGACAAGAGAGAGAGTGGGCACCCTTACTACTCCAGGTGGGACCCAGCATGCTCTTCGGGGCTCAGTTAGGCAGGGTTGAGCTGCCTCTGCACAAATAAACCTCCAAGTGTCTCAAATCACATCACTAAAAAGCAATCACACCATTCTAGTGAAAGCATAGCATTTGCTCCTAAGTTCTAACTTCTGCACTATGACAAAATAGTGCCATCTTGTTTTCACTGTAAAGTCTACAATCTTCAGTGGCTTATTGGAGACTTTGGTGTCCAAGGGAGAAAGCTTCATGACAAAGACCCAGACATATAATGGGGTAGGGGGTGTTCCCCAGGAACTACTCTCCACGCAGAACCTTAGGGGTAAAATCTAGACCTTTCTGGGAGTCCTGAGACCTGGCGTCTTGGGCAGTTTCTCCACCAGGTGCCACCAGACCTTAGTTCAGCCACTGCCTGTCCTGGGGGCAGCACCTCCTCATCTGTCCAACATCCAAAGGCACATCTGGAGCCTTAACCATTTTCCAGGTTCAACAGGACAAGATGGCTTCCAACCTTTTCAGGCATAAAAGATCATCTCGCTTAACACCAGAAAATTTTCAAAACGCTTCGACATGAATGTCACTGTACATTTCCTCGTGCTTCATTTTTAAAACTAAGTGGTAGAAAGCAATGGGCTCAAAAATACTCTTAGGATGTATATTTACTGGAGTGCCTGGGTAAGCATCCGACTTCAGCTCAGGTCATGATCTTGCAGTTCACCAGTTCGAGCCCCACATCGGGCTCTGTGCTGACAGCTCAGAGCCTGGAGCCTGCTTCGGATCCTGGGTCTCCTTCGCTCTGTGCTCCTCCCCGACTCGTTCTCTCTCTGTGTCTGTCTCTCTCTCTCTCTCAAAAATAAATAAAAACATCTTTTAAAAAAGATGTATATTGGGGCGCCCCAGTGGCTTAGTCGGTTGAGTGTCTGACTTTGGCTCAGGTCATGATCTCATGGTTCGTGGGTTCGAGCCCCGCATCCGGCTCTGTGCTGACGGCTCGGAGCCTGGAGCCTGCTTCGGATTCTGTGTCTCCCTCTCTCTCTGTTCCTCCCTTGCTCACACTCTGTCTCTCTCTCTCTCTCTCTCTCTCTCTCTCAAAGATAAATAAAGATTTAAAAAATATTTTTTAAAAAGATGTATATTTACCAACTAGAAGATCATCTACATAGACCAGGAAAGTAAACACATCTGCAAGATGCAGTATTCATGAGTCTAGTGCCTGGTACACAGACTGACCTGTTTCCTCGCAGGGATTTGAAGTTCCCGGGACCATAAGGTCCAAGCTCTGCTCAAAACATGCTCTGTCGGTCCAGACATCCAACAGCTCAGCCACATCACACCAAAGCACTGGAGAGCCTGACACTGTGACAGGGACACTGTCCTCCTCCCCCAGGAGGCACTCTCCCCAATGTCGAAACACCACTGGACTCAAAGGGCCATCTGGCTGGAAACAGTGCTGGACTCTATTTTAACCCCCAAAGACTCATCACTACCTGCGATAGTCTTAAAATCTTTAAAACGTCAGCAAATTTGGTGTGATTTTTATTTCTAGCTGAGTGCAATTGGCCCATAACTTCTCTCCTCCCCTCGGTTGCAGACCTCGCGCTCAGGAGACACGGCCATGTGTGGGCCATTGTTTCTGCAATTTCCTATGTACCTTGAATGTTCCCCCCCCCTCTCCCTTTCCCCTCTCCCTGACACCTTGTCTCCTTTCCACCTGCCCTCCAAGTCTCTCCAGCCACACCGCCGTCTCCCTGTTCTCACGTCCCCCCTTTGCCATTCTTCCAGGCCCTGAATCTGCTGATAGCACCACAACCACGGCGCACAGGGTCTCACATTCAGGATCAAAGGCTTCTGACCCCTACAGAAGGCTAGAGATTTTTCTCCCTGTATAGTTGCCAACAGCAATGCAAGCTTCTTGGTAATAGAAATAAATAACCCCAACTGTAGAACCAGACAGAGCTGAGCACAATATATTGCTTTGTTCATGTCATCACCCTTCTATGTTTTCAAAAGTATTTGTTGAGCAATTTTTACACATCACGCCTTGTTTTAAGCGGTGAGGGCACAACCGGGGGCAACACGGACTCCCTCCAAAGCCTCCGGAAGTTTCTGGTGGGGTTGAGGAGGCAGATCTACCAAAGAATCTTACAAATAATTGTTGAAACTTGCGATAAATAGCATGATGATTATATACAGGTGGGATAAGAACATTTAACAGAAAGATTTAACATAGTCGGGGGAGAGGGGAGGGTACGGGGTAAAGTGTAAGTTGAGACCCCGAGGGTGAGGGGTGAGTACAAGCTGGCTGGGTAACAAGAGCAGAAAACAACTGGTTGTTTAGGGAAAGAACCTAAATAGTAGAATGAACCAGAGAGAACAGAAGAGGCAAAGGCCCTGAGGCAGGGAAGAATATGGAAGAGGGACAGAGGAGACAGAGAGGGTGAGTGGTACAGGACCAGGCTGAAGTCACGGCATGGGCAGTGCCTGCGTGCCATCATTTTGGTGATTTGGGATTTTACTTTAAAAGCAACGGGACACTCAGGGGTGCCGGGGTGGCTCAGTTGATTAAGCGTCGGACTTCAGCTCAGGTCATGATCTCACAGTTCGTGAGTTCGAGCCCCGCGTCAGGCTCCGTGCTGACAGCTCGGAGCCTGGAGCCTGCTTCAGATTGTGTCTCCCCCTCTCTCTCTGTTCCTCCCCTGCTCACACTCTGTCTCTCTCTCTCAAAATAAAGATTTAAAAAAAAAAAAGTGAAGAGGAACGTGGGTGGCTCAGTGGGTTAAGCATCAGACTTTGACTCAGGTCATGATCTCACAGTTCATGGGTTTGAGCCCCGCATCGGGCTCCATGCTGACAGCTCGGAGCCTGAAGCTGCTTCAGATTCTGTGTCTCCCTCTCTCTCTGCCTCCTACCCCCACTCATGCTCTAGCTCTCTCTCTCTCTCTCTCAAAAATAAACATTAAAAAAAATTTTTTTAAAGCAACAAGACACCCATATCCAAAATACATATTAAAAAAATACAAGGGGCGCCTGGGTGGCGCAGTCGGTTAAGCGTCCGACTTCAGCCAGGTCACGATCTCGCGGTCCGTGAGTTCGAGCCCCGCGTCGGGCTCTGGGCTGACGGCTCGGTGCCTGGAGCCTGTTTCCGATTCTGTGTCTCCCTCTCTCTCTGCCCCTCCCCCGTTCATGCTCTGTCTCTCTCTGTCCCAAAAATAAATAAACATTGAAAAAAAAATTAAAAAAAAATACAACTCCAAAAGAAAATAAGAGGCAACTGGAATTCTCTTACACGCCAGGTAGGTGTGTAAATTTGCACAATCACTTTGGAAAAACACGTGGCAATCCTTCACAGGGCTAAATGCGTACACCCTGTGACCTACTGCTGAACACACACCCAAGGATGCTCGGGTCCCCCAAAGGAATGTTCCGGGCAGAATGGGCCCAAACACAGAACCACCTAAATGCCCATCCACCCTAGAGTGGATAAATAAATTTTGAAATATTGTTAGAATAGAATTGTACACCTTAATGCACAGAACAAGCTGATGATACAACGTGGTTAAATCTCCCAGGCGCAACGTTGGGTCAAATAAATGTTGAGTCAAACAGAAAAGAGAATGTACTGTGTGATCTCATCCACATGAAGTTCAAACACAAGCAAAGCTCATCGGTGGTGATAGAGGTCAGGACAGAGGCTCCCCTGTGGGGCACGGACGGAAGGAAGGGCTCAGGCGGGAGCTTTGCTGGGGCCTGGGAGCGCGTGCACGCGGGAGTTAACAGTTCATCGCGCTGCAGAGCAAAGACGTGCGCAATTCCAGGCCAGTAAAGTACCCCTCAGTCCCTACAAACGAGGAGAATGGATCCGGTGGCTCAAAGGGACAGGTGGGTTCAAAGACAGAAGCAGGGAGGGAGTCTAGGACCGAGTCCTGTGATGCCGGCACTTAGGGCTGGGGGTGGGGGGCGGATGGGGTGACCCACGAAGGAGAGTGGGTGCGGAAAAACAACAGGGTGGGGGTGGGGGGAGCAAGCACTCGGGGGACAGGGGCCGGGGAGAGACCAGCTGTAGCTCCTAACGACTTTCGCTGAAGAGGGATGACCACAGGATGAGGGGGAAGAACCCTCCAGCCCCACCAGGGGATGTAACCTTCAAAGTCAGGTCTCCTCCTGGGGGTTAGAAGGTACGCAGGAGATCTAAAACCGTCTGGAGAAGCACCGAGTCTCCACGGAGCGCGCTCAGCAGCCGGGGCGAGCTGGGGACTGCTTCTTCCAGGCCCTTCGGGAACAGCCACCCAAGGCCCCGTTTCCGCCCGGCCGTGTGATCCCCTGACCCCGACAACGTGGGCAGGGGGGCCTTCAGGGGCACCGGGGCAACACGCAGAGAAGAAAGTTGCTGAACGGAGGGAAAGGAATACTGAAATGAAATTAAGTTAAGGGAAATGGCTGAGTTCTCAACAGTCCATCCCTCTTAGCCAAGAATTGCAGGCGGGTTTTCAGGGCCAGTGGCCTACAGCTTCCTCTTCCTCCATGTTGCACCGTAAGCTCCCTGCGGACAGAAACCAGGCCTGGTAGTTTTGTCCGTGCCCCCCCGCACCCGCCGGGTGGCCGCGCCCACCCGGATGTCCCGAGCCTGGGGATGCAGCAGGTGTCACGGGACCCCCAGCGGCGCCTCTGCGGCAGGACGCCCCCTGGCGGAGACACCGCCTCGCGGACACCCGGGCCGACTCGCGGTCTGGAGCCTGAGGCATCGCTGCCTCTCCCGGGGAAGCAAAACTAAAGTGTTTGAAATTCAAGGGGACACCTCAGCAAAGCGGAGACTCCGTGCAGACAGCCCTCGTGGCGATGTAAATTGCAGACAGCGAAGGATGGAGACGGAGCGCGAAAGGAGAGAGCGGCAAGGTCGCCTTGCCCTTGGGTCTCGTTAGTGGAAATAAAACGTCCCGGAAACGTAACGTCTTTTAAAGACGTTTGGAAGTTTCCTGGGTGATCCTGAAAGGGCTGATGGCAGTGTGAGGTTTTCAATGTACCCAGAGGCCTCCCACAGAGCGACTGGAATGGTAGGACGATGTGGGGTCATGGAGCTTTCTTCCCTTCTTTAGCTGCCAATTAACACATCTGCTACGTGTCAGGGGCGCCAGTTGCCTAATGGGCGGAAGCCGTTGATGGCGATGACTAATAACACTGGTGTATTCTCTGGGCTTAATCTTTAACTTGGTTTCCTGAGGGGATTAAACTAGACACGAGCAGAGAAAACGGGCATGATATTCTTGATAGAGCCTTTCTATGGGTACACAGCGGACACAGTTGAGCGAGAGGAATAATTCTCCCTCCACCCCGGCCCAACAGTCACCATTTGAGGTCAGCAGTCTCCACATACGGATGGGTATTCTCGGTAAGATGTGCAGGAATCACAGAGTCAGGCTGCCTGTGGACCCAGCGCCTTTACGGTCACGATCATGTCGAAAGTTCATACAGTGCAGTGTAGCAAAGATGTTTTGAGAATGCAAATTTTAGAGTCTGGGAGGGTAAGTGCGAATGGAAGTAATATGCTTTTTATTGTTCTCTGAAAGTGTCCTGTAAGTTCACCCTCTTTCCTTACACAGCATAAACCACTTTGGAGTCATTACACCATCCGTGGAGAAAAAAAAAAGGATCTCTGCTTATGGAGGAAACTACAAATGAGATGGTCGTATGTACAGATTTCTACCTTCAAGCTTAGAAGACAGCTCTTCGATGAAGGTTACTTAGGATTTCACAGGGAGTCTTTGAGGCCCTACACAGAACACATTCTCTAGATATTGCACACCATCTGGGAATGCAAGCTGGTGCAGCCACTCTGGAAAACAGGATGGAGGTCCCTCAAAAAACTGAAAATAGAACTACCTTATGACCCAGCAATTGCACTACTAGGCATTTATCCAAGGGATACAGGTGAGCTGTTTCGAAGGGACACATGCACCCCCATGTTTATAGCAGCACTAGCAACAATAGCCAAAGGATGGAAAGAACCCAAATGTCCATCGATGGATGAATGGGTGAAGAAGACATGGTATATATATATACAATGGAGTATTACTCAGCAATCAAAAAGAATGCAATCTTGCCATTTGCAACTACGTGGATGGAACTGGAGGGTATTATGCTAAGGGAAATTAGTCAGAGAAAGACAAAAATCATATGACTTCATGCCTGTGAGGACTTTAAGAGACAAAACAGATGAACATAAGGGAAGGGAAACAAAAATAATATAAAAACAGGGAGGGGGACAAAGCAGAAGAGACTCATAAATATGGAGAACAAACTGAGGGTTACGGGAGGGGCTGTGGGAAGGGGGATGGGCTAAATGGGGCAGGAGCCTTAAGGAATCTACTCCTGAAATCACTGTTGCCCTAGATGCTAACTAATTTGGATGTAAATTTTAAAAAATTAAAAATAAAATTAAAAAATAAATACTGCACACCATCGTATGTTTATAGCTCCAAAGTAAACCAAGATCTTTGAAGAGTGGTCTTCCATAAGTCTTGTTCCTTCTACTGCTAATGGAGAAGAATCTCTCAGACTGGCGCTGGCATGTTGCCATAAAAAAAAGATAACAGCAGACACAAGGCATTCAAGGAACACCCTCCAAACTAAGTGGGATTTACAAAGCTCACATAATCATTAATGAAAATGCTCTGGAGCAGCAGTGGCCATCCATGGGGAAACTCTTGGTTCTTCCCATCCCTGATGAATGGAGTTATCTAGCCCTGCTTACCAGGGACACTTTGAAAGGTACAATATGAGAGATGGACATTTCTTTGAAGCAGATAGACCTCAAAAGACAGAAGGCATGAAGTCACATCACTTCAGGTGAATGACAGATGCACAATATATATAAACACTTCGGTAAGCCAAGTCCCAGTGACTGGTTCTGACCTAGACGCCAGCGTCACCTGACAGAGAATCACGGACCAAAGCACAAATACTGCTAGACGCCTAGTGTTCACGGCCAAGATAAAGTGTAAAAATAAAAAAAAAAAAAAAAAGAGGAAGGCAAAAGTTCGCCACACGCTCGACAGAAGTCATGTCAGCTTAAAACAAAAAGTCCGGGGGTGCCGGGGTGGCTCAGTCGGTTGAGTGTCCAACTTCACCTCAGGACATGATATCGAGGCTCACAAGTTCAAGCGCCGCGTTGGGCTCAGTGCTGACAGCTCAGAGCCTGGAGCCTGCTTTGGATTCTGTGTCTCCGTCTCTCTCTGCCTCTCCCCTGCTCTCACTCTGTCTCTGTCTCTCTCAAAAATAAATAAACATTAAAAAAAATTAAAAACAAAAATCCCCCAAATCATTTTTCTCAGCGGTGTATCTGCTCCCATGTTATCATCTTCATTTAGAAACCAATTCATTGATGTAAATAAAAATAATAATAATAATAATAATAATAATTAAAAAAGGAGAAGTCCTGATCACCAAGTCATAGAACCTCTTCCTTGTCTGAGGCCTAGAATTCCTTCAGTTCTGTTAAAATTGGACACATAATTCCCAGATGCCAAGTGGAATCCAAGGCTGGTCAGAATCACCTGGGGAACATTTACAAATTACAGATGCTAGGAGATTATCCCATGTAGACTGATCTAGAAGCCTAGGGGTTGGCCCATTGATTTCAGCACGTGGTGATTGTGATGGGTGACCAACCTTGCGAATCCCTGGAAAAGGCCATTTCCATGCCCAGCTTTACAGAGTCTACACCTGAACACCATCTCCTCGTGAATGGTCCTCCTTATAATCCACCATGGGAAGCTCGCCCAGTGTGTTCCAAGAAGATAATGTAACACCAATAGCCAGTCGCTTCTACTTATCCAGAGGTTCTCCTGCTCCCCTGCTGCAAAAAGTCCCTTCCAACAATCAACAAAACTAAAAGGCAACCTACAGAATGGGAAAAGATATTTCCAAATGACATATCTGCTAAAGAGTTAGTATCCAAAATATATAAAGAACTTAAAAACACAACACCCCAAAACAAATAATCCAACTAAAAAATAGGTAGAAGGCATGAATAGACATTTTTCCGAAGAAGACTTCCAGCTGGCCAACAGACACATGATAAGACGCTGAACATCACTCATCACCAGGGAAATGCAAATCAAACCTACAGTGAGATACCACCTTATACCTGTCACAATGGCTGAAATCAACACCACAAGAAACAATAGGTGTTGGTGAGGATGTAGAGATAAAGGAACCCTCTTGCCCTGTTGGTGGGAATGCAAACTGGTGCAGTCATTCTGGAAGACAGTAGGGAGGTTCCTCAGAAAGTTAAAAATAGAACCACCCTACCACCCAGCAATTGCAGTACTGGGTACTTACCCCCAAAATACAAAAATACTAAATCAAAGGGACACATGCGCCCTGATGTTTATAGCAGCATTATCTGCCACAGCCAAAGTATGGAAACAGTCCAAATGTCCGTGAATGCATAAAGAAGATGTGGTGTATACACACACACACACACACACACACACACACACACACACACTGGAATATTACTGAGCCATAAACAAGAATGAAATCTTGGCATTTGCAATGATGTGGATAGAACTTACGCCAAGTGAAAGAAGTCAATCAGAGAAAGCTAAATACCAAATGATTTGACTCACATGTGGAACTTGAGAAACAAAACAAAGGAGCAAAGAGAGAAAAGAGAGAGAGAGAGAAGCCAAGAAATAGACTCTTAAGTATAGAGAACAAACTGATGGTTCCCAGCAGGGAGATGGGGCGGTGGGATGGGTTTAAATAGGTGGTGGGGCAGGGCACCTGGGTGGCTCAGTTGGTTAAGCAGTCGACTCTTGATTTTGGGTCAGGTAATGATCACACGGTTCGGGAGACTGAGCCGCATGTTAGGCTCTGGGCTGACAGCACAGAGGCTGCTTGGGATTCTCTCTCTCCCTCTCACTCTGCCCCTCCCCCCCAAAAGTAAATAAATAAACATTTTTTTAAAAAAATAAATAAACAGGTGACGGGGACTAAGGAGTGCATTTCTTGTGATGAGCACCGGGTAAAGTGTGGAAGTGTTGAGTCACTATATTGCACACAAGAACGTAATATTACACTGTATGTGAACTAACTAGAATTTAAATAAAAACTTTTTTTAAAAAAAAGCCCTTCCCAAAGTCCTAACACCTCCCACTCAAACTGTCTTTTACCTTGAACTGTATCTGGACTCCCCCCTCTCAAAGTGGAATCCAATTATCCCTTCTCATGATGAACATTTTTCCCATTGAGATTCCTGTAAGTGCAACATTGCATTTGCCTTCTGAACATAGTGGCTAAATGTCCAGAAAAAGAATCACTCCCATCAGTGCTCAGCAAAATTCCTAATGAGCCCGTGAAGTATTGCTTTAAAAAAAACAAAAACAAAAACAAATAGCCAGTGCTATATTTCAACTCTGTGAGTGTGTGTGTGTGTGTGTGTGTGTGTGTGTGTGTGTGTGTGTGTTGTAGGGGAGGAGAGATTTTGAGTCCGATTTACGCAAAGCAATAAATTAATCTTTTATTCCAACAGGGGAAAAACATTCTGACCTTGTATCTGGAAGCTGGGGGGAAAGACGAGCTTCTCTTTTACCATTTTGGAAAGATGCCAGAGGTGGGGAGGCAGGAGAGGTGAGGAGGGCAGAGGGGTAGTTTTTCTTTTTTAATCACGGTTTTTAAAATGGTATACTATGTATTGTCATACCTAAACCTCTAGAAATCATTTTTCAGGGGAAAAAAAAATCCTGTAATCTCCAGTCTTCCTTTGTGGGAAAGAAAGATGTCATGGAAACTGTGACCATGTGCCTAAAACAAGACATGGTGAAAATGATATATAACTGTTTCCATGACTCCAAAAGGAGATGTTGGTCTCTACACAGAGGCGTTTTATCAAGCATCAGGAACTTTCCCCTGGCTCACATGCCCGTGCCCATTCTGCCCCGGTCCCTCTGTGTTATTCTGCCTGAGCTTTCAAGTCAAATTCTCCAGAAGCTTTCTCTCCCCTCTGCTAGAAGACCTCTTTCTTCTCCCGAACGTTAGCTCTTCAGACCTTGAACCACAGAATCTTCTCCACAGAGCGGTGGCACTTTCGGCACAAGTGACGGGGAGGTACTTCTGGCGTTTGGTAGGTAGGGGCCACGGGTGCTGCTACACATCCTGCAGTGGACCGGGTGACCCCCACAAAAACGAGATTACCCAGTCCCACACATCTGCAGCACTGAGGTTGAGAAACCACGTTTGGCAGTGATGTGCACCCTGGCCCAGCAGCAGACACCGTCGATGTCCCTCCTCCTTGGCTGTTTTCCTCCTTGGCTTCCAGGACGCCATACTCTCCAAGTTTCCTCCAACCTCAGGTCCGTTCTCTCGTTACTTCTCATCTCCCCAACTTCTGACTGGTAGCGTGTGCCTGGGCTTGGTCCTTGGACTCCATTCTCGCTCCAATGCCCGCCCTTAAATACCTGTAGATCCACAGGCCCCCTCCCCTGAATTTATATCTCTGCCCGGACCCCTTCCCTGAATTCCACTTGGACACCCCCACTTGGACATCACCAGGGCATCCCAAAGTCAGCAAATCCAGAACCGAGTTCCTCATCTTCCCCCAAGACACCTGCTCTCCCAACTCATCGCTGTTAATGCCTAGTTGCTCAGGGAAATAACCTTGTCGTCATCCTTGACACTTCTCTCTCTCTCTCTCTCTCTCTCTCTCTCTCTCAAACACTCATCCAATCTACCATCAGATCCTGTTGACTCAAAACACGTCCAAATGTGACCACTTCTCGGCACTCCCACCGCTGTCACCACTGGTGGCCCAAGCTGCCATCGTCTCACCAGTCCCCTCCCTGGTCTCCCTGCTTCCACCTCTATCTAGTACCTTCCACCTTCTCAGTACAGGAGCCAGCGTGATCCTTTCAAAATGCGAGTCAGATCATGTCACTTCTGTACTTAGAATTCCCCAACGGCTCCTACCAATCCCAGGGTGAAGGCCAAAGTTCTTACAATGCCTTTCAAGGGTTTATAAAATCCGTCTGCTTCCAAATCCCCAACGGTGTCTCTGCAGTTCACATCCTACCACTCTCCCCCTTCCCTCCGCATCTACACCGGCTTCTTGCTCTCCCTTGAGTTTTCCAGACACAGTCCCACCTCTGGACCTGCTCCTTCGCTGTGCCCTCTGCCTAAAATGATCTTCCCCCCAAGATCCCCGTAACTTGCCCCGTCAACCCTTCAGGTCTTGCTGAGATGTCACCTCCTCAGAGGGGCCTCGTGTGGCCACGCCATTGAACCTCGCAGCCCACCCCCCGACTCCACGTATTGGTTTTAATATTTTTTCCACAGTGTGTGACACCGTCTGGCACGCGATTTCTTTTTCTTAGCTAACTCGTTATCCGATTCTCCCAACACGATGCAAGCTGGCTGGCCGAGGGCTGGGATTATTTTCACTGCTGTCTCCACAGCACGCAGGGTAGTGCCGTCCGTAGCAAATGCCCAAAGGGGTGAACGAGCGAGTCCCTGGCTCCTCATAAAGATTCTCTGGCAACGGGGCGCCTTGCATCTCCCTGCACAATGTCGTGGTCACGCCTCCTTTTTCTTCTCTGACACCCCCGTGCATAGGCCAGGCCCTGGACGAGGAGCTTTTGTACAAATGCAATGAAATTGCTAATTGCCTGCAATGTATCAGGAACTCACTCTATCTTGAATCAGATTTTCAGTCTGAATGCTGCAAATGTCAAAAGGCATCTTCGCCGCGGTGAAGGCTTCCTCGTGCCTTCCTCGCCAGTTTACCAATCCACCCGGAGCCTGGCAGAGGCTGCAAATCGCCCAGGACGGGCAGTGAGCAGACTTTCTGCACCATCTTGTGGACAGTCTGGGAACTGCACCTACCGAAAGCGCCCTGTGTCCATGTGCGGGAACCGCCTCTGTTTACCCGTCTCCTCCAGGCCCCAAAGCAAGACCGTGTTGTCTCCACTCCTCCCCCGTCCTGGACTTTCCAAACTCTCTTTGGTTTGGGAGTGCCTTGGGTTGGTGATTCCCACTCTTTTTCAGGAAAAAAAAAAAAAAAAAGAAAAGCGAATTTCCTTGTGGCCCAAAAAGCAGAGAACTGGAGGCTGCTCGGGGTTTTGACGCCTCCCAAATTGTTTTTAATCAGCAGCTTTATCCGATTCAAGTCCCTCTGTCCGGAAACACTGTGGGTGACATCAGTCGCTACTCTCCAAAGTGACTGAACGACGAGGCGGGATCTCAGGGGCATGATGGGAGGTCGTCCCACCT